TCCCACAGATCTGCTCTGCAGTCCATGTTAAGTGGAGACATGGCTTACCTACACCATCATCTACAACATACGGAAGTTCCTCTGATAAGTCATCGCCCCAGCTTCATGATCCTTCCCAGGCCTGTCATATCTCATCCTTTTAACCCTGTTTATCTCCAATTTTCTCCCATTCTTGTTCTTGCTTAAGAGACAAGGTAGAGTGGTTTATGGGAATTTCTGTAGAAACATGGGAGTGAGCTGTTATCCTGAAATTGCATGGGCCAGGCTTTGGCCACACACACTTTTAGGGCTTCTACTCTCTTACAAATTATGACTCATCTCCTTAGGGACAAGAATTCTGTCTTTCTTTTTCTTTTTCTTTTTCTTTTTAGTTGTCAATGGACCTTTATTTTTATTTTTTTAATATGTGGTGCTGAGAATCAAACCCAGTGCCTCATATGTGCTAGGCAAGTGCTCCTACCACTGAGCCACAATCCCAGCCCCCACATTCTGTATTTCTAATCAATATTGCCATTTATTAATGGGGTATTATTTCTGACCTCCAAATACAGAGACAATATTTTCATTTATTTTGCCTTTCTAAAAATGCAAACATTTCATGTATAGGTTAATGTACTTGGCCACCGGTTTTGCATTTCTTGAGATTTTAGGATATCAGAGTGTCTGATTTCCTGACAAATGGAAGCCATCTCCCATTTGGGCTGTAGGTGTGGGTGTATGGGAGTCGGCTGGCTCCTTTCCTCCCTCCCTKCTGTTGTTGTCTTCTTTTGCAATTAGTGATATTATCTGTTCTTTTGAACAACTAACAATTAGAGTCACCCTTTGATCAACATAGTGATAGCGTTTTCATCAGCATTACCACTTTGCAAGGCCTTTGTTTGAGAATTAAGAACACAACTGGCATCATTTGCTTTCTTTGGTTCCTTCTGCTTTACAGCTTATTTTCTCAGATGTTTTCTTTTGTAACCAGGTTGTGTGTGTGAGCGGGGCGTGTGGGTGTGTGCAAGCGGGGGCCAGAGGAGTTGTCTTCATTACTGTTTATTTCTTCTTGATGCCACATAGGTAGCGGCAGACCTAACTCTTTTCTCAATGTAAGGTCTGACATGCCTTGCAGCTGTAATCTGTGAGCACATGTAACCTCTGAGAATGTTATCTAGGGAAGGAATGTTCCAAGGGGTGGTGATGGCATTCCAACASGAGCTGAGCATGCACACTGGGAGCTGAAGTGGGGAAAGCCTGGCTGGAGSGTGGGGGGCCTTGACTTCTCAGCATAGGGGGAAGTGGGGGTGCAGAGAGAGGACCTGGGYGTTTCTGAGGAAGCAATGGCAATTGACTAAGTAGAGCAGAGTTCAGGAGAGGTTGGGGGAAGTAACTCTGAAGATATGGAAACCAATGAAGAAACTTCTGGAAATTCAAGTGTGGAGTGACCCACAGACCATCCAGAGCCACCTAGCCCTGGCTGCAGGGGCTAATCACCCATCAGAAACAGCCCAGCATCGGGTACTTGCTGAACTGCTTTTCAGTTATTAATTCCATCCCACTGATCTATGGAGCAGTTTCAGGACAATCTCTATCTAAGCCAGAGAAAGGGAAGACACTGTTAATATAAAGAACAGTTTATCCCAAAGGCTGAATGTTCTCTCTGATACGTGAATGCTAACACACCAACAAGCAGGGAGGACGGAAGAAGAAGTTCATTGGATTAGACAACAGGGAAGGAAGGGAAGGGAGGGGRGATGGGACTGGGAAAGACAGTAGAATGAATCGAACATCACTTTCCTGTCTTCATACATGAATACAGGACCAGTGAAACTCCACATCATGTACATCCTCAAAATGGGATCTAATTAGAATAAGTTCTCCTCCAGGTGTGTATAATATGTCAGGATACACTCTACTGTCCTCTATATCTAAAAACAAGAAATTAAAAAGAAAACAGGTAGGGTCTAGTGGAGGAGTTTACGCTTTTATGAGGAATGAATGTTTTCCTTGTGGGAAGCATTTGTGTTCTTGGGAAGTCCTGAGAGAGTGGATTGTTATAAAGTGGGGCCACCCCACTTGCCGGGCCCCTTCTGCATGTGTCCCTTCACATTTCCCCACATGTTGATACACAGAGGGAGTTGGGGGCCTCTACAGAGGCAGAACAGATGTGGCAGCCCAATCTTGGACTTCCAACCTCCAAAACTGTGAGCTAAATGAATCTCTTTTCTTTATTAAAAAAAAAAAAGTTTATCACCCCATGTCCTTTGTCTTGTAACATGACTAAAGCTGACTCAGCTATTCTAGCCTGCTCTGAGACACAATCTTCATGTTACTTCCAACTCTGACTCTGATATGACTCAATGCAGCGTTCTGTCTGGAGACACTTTAGTACTGAGTACAGAACTGATGTGATGTTAAACACAACAATATGTCTGTGGAAACCCATCTTTCTTATTCTTTTAACTTAATTCTTTTAATAGTGGGAAAGCTAAAGAAGACTCATGCATCTATTCTTTCAGTAGAATTTTCTCCAAGTATGTGCATTATTTTCGTAGGTACCTAACTGCGATGGTAAAGCAGGATGGACAGCTGCAACACTACTTTTCCTGCAACACAGAGGTAGTGAACTTGACAGGGTTGGAGGAATTCAAAGGCCTGATATGTGATAGATCCCAAARCACTGAATCTTAATGGCAGGGGACAGCTGTGGAGAAGAGAAATGGAGGCTTGACCTCACATTTCCTGGAAAGATGTGTCTCAACCAGCTTGGGAAGAAGTCAGTGCAATAGCAACATRTTATGGTCTCACAAACAAGGGAAGAGGATAACAGAAAGATGTAGAGATAATCAATAAATACTGGCGCTCTTTTAGCTCACTTCAATACTTTCCTTTTTTCCTCTGGAAGAAAATCAAGATGACTAAAGAGTATTTTTTTTTTAATCTACAAGGTTTACTTTCTAAAATCAGTATTGTTTAGATGATTCATATTCCTTGAGTTTTAGAAAAATAAGAATTACACAAGTGTACTCCTGTGATGTAAAAATACCAACATCAACTGTTCACATTATTTAGAACTAGAATAAGTTACATTAAGTATTGGACTCCCAAGAGGGAAGAACCTTATGTTCAAATAAAGATGTGTGAATTTTTACCCATTGCTATATGAACATTAAAGTTTTATTTGGATTTTCATCAAATTTGAAATATTCCAGAAAACCTGACTTCAAATGTTGCTAGGGAATAGAATTAAGTTTTAGCCTGGTAATTGGCAATAGCCCCCAAAAGATAAGCAGGTTTCCCCCCCCCAGCATTTGCAGATATTGATTGGCCAAGAAACTGCTGTGCACATGGTCACATCTACACAGTGTGCTTCAGAGTCAAGAGTAGCAGGGAGTTATTAATTCAGAGATGGTTAATTATTCTTTTCAAAAAAGTTAGGTTAATTGATTAGTGCATAAGTAGCAATTATAAATGTTTAAAAATTCCACACGGTGACTGAAGCATCCATTTTCAACTAATAGTCTTATTAACATTTTTAAATCTATCATTAAAGAGAGATGTCCTGAGAAAGTCCAGGGTTGAATACCCATGATATCTCATAAATGAAAAATTAAAAACTTTTAAAAAGAAAAAATAAAACTTCTGTAACATATGCTGAACATTTTAAGTCAATTATGCATTTTCAAGTTTGCATCACAGTTAAGTTCCAAAATCCTGTTTAAAGTTTAAATAGAAAGCACATGTATTCATGCTATTCTGTGGAAAAATATGGTATGCGTTTTTTTTTTTTTTGACTATTCATTGTCTAAATTCTCCAATTTTGCAAGCAAGTGTATGGTACAAATTTGAAAGGTGTTTATTCATAATGCTAAAAAAATTTAGTTATTTTCATCTTTATTGAGTTTTCTCATGGACTAGTATAATTTCAGCAGAATTTAAGTGCATCTATTGGAAATCAGCAGACTGCTCTTCTACTTGGAATTCAGTTGACAAAACTTCTCGTCATTTAAAGGAATATTTCATAACATTACTACCTAGAGTAATTTGTTTCTATGAATAGCCCAAAGAAGGAAAAGAAAAAAGAGAAAGAAGAGGGGAATAAAAAAAAAGCTGAGGAAAATTATTTCCCTATGTCTAGAATAAAGATATTTCATCAAATGTGGCACACATCATGCAATTTCACTTAAATTTTGTTTATTTGGATCCTTATAACAATTTTTGCCTCACAACTACTATACCAAATATGGAAAATCTAATTTCTTTTGGTATTAGTTTGCTTTGGTGCTAAATAGTCTCTAAAGTAAACTGATCCCAGCCATGTATGGATACTTATCTTCTTCTCCCACCAAAGCACTAACTTTTCTTATTTATCTTTAAATCAGGGGTGGGAACACAGTAGGCACTCAATAAATGCACACTGAAAAAAATGAGGCCTATTTCAAATGGTTTTAGTTAGTAAAACTGCTCAACAAGGTCAGTCCTGGCCTGCTATCACATGAACCACTTTATCTCCAAGTCACCCAGATAACTGAGAAAAGCCAGCRTGACCTTTTGCTTCAATCATCAATACAGTCAAAAAAAAAATAGGTGCTTTTAATTTCAAGCTGTACTATAGATATCTAGATTCTGAACAGCATTGCATTAAAAKAATGTAATTGAAACTGAAGATATATTTATTTTAAGTACTTTGAGGGCTCTTAATCTCAGAAAAATCCAGTGATCTTCTCAAAAAATGTCCAACTGATAATTTAGCCCAGCACTAGCATGAGAATTCAATTCATGAAACACCATGATTTTGAAGAGTCATCCCTGAGATACTGTTTTCTAATTTAATGCTTAAATTAGAAAATAAGTATAACATCTAGCAAATAATTAAATCTTAAAATGTCACCGAGTTTTAAAATAGCGGAAATAACTTTCAATAAAAACACAGAGCAAAATTCCAAAGGCCAGACACTCTTACTGTGGAATGAGAGCATGCATTCAAACCTGCAAATACATTTGTAGTTACTTCTTACCTTAAACACATTGATAGGGAGATCAATGACCACATAGATAAGGTCTCCAAGGGCAAGGCTAGCTATCAGTGCGTTGGGGCCATTCCTCATACACTTGTTCTGGTAAATGATCCTGAGCAGAGTTGCATTCCCCACCATTCCCACGATGAAAATAGTACAAGATATCACAGTGTTAATGTATTTGAAAGCGGAAGTAATTTTAGTCTGCTGTGGGCAATAGTTGTGCATTGAACCGTTGCTGGGGAGGGCCAAATTTGTGGGTCGATGGGTAGTCACCAGGGAGTTGACCTCTGTCCCCCGAAAAGTGGTAAAGTCATCCACATGATTGCTTAGATTTGTGCTGTATCTCTCAGGATTGTCACTGATTACACATCCAGCCAGTGCCAGCCAAAAGGATGCTCTGAGGCAAAACATTTCCATCTTGATGCGAATTTGAAGAAAAGTCTTAGTGTATCGCTTTTACAACTCTATTTTTTCTTCACCTGAAAAAAGAAAGGAGAAAAATTATTCTTATGACAAAATCCAGCTGTCAAAATGATGGTAATTAATGATTATTTACTGCTTTAATTAAAATGCAGAATATTTGGCAATTAGATAAGATAAATCTGTGTCAGGCTGCCCCAGAGCAGAACAAAACTAGAAAAGACCAAAAACCTCATAGGACAAGATTTCTCCCTCTCCCACCCCCAACTGCATCTCATTTCTTCACATAGCTAAGCTATACTTATAACTAACTCATGATATGGATGAGGATATGACTATTTCCCTTCAAGTGGTAATTATATTTTTCTCCCCACCCAGATTGATGAAAATCTGACTTAGAAAAACCTTCCAGAATCGAGATACACAATTTTGTGTAAAACTGAAAGTGAAAACGCCTTCTATACATTATAGATGTAGCATAAAATAAAAACTATCAAATTCTGTAATTAAAAGTCCAGTATTCCAAAATGTGTCCTGTTTTGCACAGGGTAAATAATGAACACGGAACAGAATGTGGTTCAGGAAGCCTTCTAAGATATTAAAAAATGTTGGATTTAAAACCAGAACCCTGGTTACCACCACCGATACGTTTAACAATCTCAGTTTCAATTAAAAAAATTATGTAATTGAGAATGACAAAATATTTATTTTGGAAACCTTGACTGATGTGTAAAATCTTCATCTCCTAACAGGAGGTTTTTGTTATTTCATACATTAGAAATTATCATCACGATGTTTGTCAATGAGTGCAATAGGAGTAATGGACCTTTGCAGGCTGGTCAGGCTGTTGGATTTTCTAAGAGATATCTGTCCCTATGCTCTTTAAGACCTCCTATGTGTATTATGTGTCAGTCACTGTGCCGAATACATCGTATGTGCAATGCCACTGAATCCGTACTATGGTCCTGTGAAGCAGATGTACACTCCATCAGGGAGACAGGGAAATGGAGGCTTGGAAGACATGCCTCTGGTCACAGGTAGTGGCTCCAAGGCTACATTCCTAAGGTAGGTCAGTCTAACTCTGAGTCTGAGTTCTTAACTACTAGACCMTCCTGTCTCTCATTCTCATGCTTTATTTGTACCTAGAGTGTTTAAAGGAAGTCTCCAGTGTGTAGATGAAGCAACAGACTAGGGGTGCTTAGACATTTCAAAAGACCTCTTGCCCCCTTGCAAAGAGCAACTGATTCCTCTTTACCCAGCTAGTTACACTTTCTCTGTTAATCCTTGGGAAAACAACGGAAGTTGGTGGTGCCAGAATTATCAATCAAAAGTAATAAAAATGGCCACTCTCTTTTCGATATTTTGTAAATTTCCTGTTCCGTGGGCTTTTATTAATCTTTAAATGAAAGCCATAACCTCGTTTATCTCATGGTGTGTGTGTGCATCTATGACATACACACTCAGGTTCTAATGTAATTTTTAAAACTTGCTCCTTTTCGAGAGATTGTTCAAGATTGCTCATGGCCACTTTTAGGAATTTCGACAGTTATCACAGGAAATCACAAAGCTTATGTTTAGTCACCGTAGCTATAAGATAGAGTCAAGTTGTAGAGAAGGGTCAACACCAAATTGCAAGCATTGAATACTTTGCTTTTCCCCAGGAACCTAAAATAATACATGTATTAACTATATGTGTATCTATTATCTGACTTTTAGCTTTACAACTGTGATAGGTAGAAGCATTGTCTCATTTTACTTGAGAGACACTTTTTTTTTTTTTTATATTTATTTTTTAGTTCTCGGCGGACACAAGATCTTTGTTGGTATGTGGTGCTGAGGCTCGAACCCGGGCCGCACGCATGCCAGGCGAGCGCGCTACCGCTTGAGCCACATCCCCAGCCCTTGAGAGACACTCTTAAAGAAGTGAAGTGACTATGTCAACCAAGAAGTGGCAAATGGCTATAATATCTCCCAATTTGTTTATAGACTTAACTTACTTTGAGTAGATGATAAAAAATACCATTTTTTTTTTCAAAACTAGGGATATCCTGTGTACCTGCCAGTTTTTTTACCAGGGTGTAGTGTGTTTAATTAGTTTGCAGTTTTTTTCCTGCTTCTTATAGTTTGGAGTATCTGACCAAATATCAGTAACCTACAAATGCCGTCATTTCCATCCTGAAGTAGAAAGCAGGATCCTAAGAACAAAGCTTATAGCCCTCCTCCTCTTTGGATCATGGAGAGTAGTGGAAAGAAATTCTTTAACATCTCATGCTGCCTAGTGACTAGTCTCTCAGTTTTCCAATTGGAATGGAATATTCAGTAATAGTTTTCATAGAAATGAAAGACAAAGGCCTTTTCCAGAAATGGAATGGCTCCTCTCCAGTAGAGTCAGCAAGGAAGATGTTTCATGAGCTGACCTGGCTATCACAGTCATCTTGCCACTCATCAAAGTCCCTCTAGTGCTTTGAACATCAACCCACCAGTTTGATTGGTCAGCTGATTATGGCACGAGTTAACAAGGTCAAGGCTGGGGATTCTTATCATTAAAACCATCTTCTTTCCTTGCAACAATGACACTACCCTAGAAATAATTTCTGATGACATTTCTGTCAGCTCTCCACACACATTAAGCTGCAGAGTTAAGGAACATTTGTCAAAGGCATGTGGATACCATATTATCATTGAGTAAAAAAATGCCAAACCAAATGAAAGAATTTTTTCAAATGCATGCTATTCCAAGGATGGGTCTGGAGCTTACTTTCATGTATCTGAGAGAAGCTGGGCTTTGAATCATCAGCCATAACCATCAGTCACAGCTCTATTAAGTATCTTAGTTTCAAACCTAAAGGACATGGTCAATAGATTCAGCATTCTTCCTATTTGGGGTTGAAGAGTTTTCTGGAGTGCACAGGATATTATTAAGGAAGAAGACTGAATTCTCATGATTACACTTTAACCATTTAACCTATCCGACTCTCAGGATCAAAGTTCACCTGTGTAAGTAGTAATTTGGAAATTCCAACCTTACCAAAATGGCACAAGTTTAGAGCAGGCAATTTACATGACAGGATTGCCAAGGTGTTTCTCAATTCGCTGACACTTAAAACAGAAGAGGTGGTGGTGGTGAGGAATCATGAACAAGGACAAGTAGGGACAAAAATTAACTAGGAACTTTTGAGAAATTTTCTGTGGTTTTGCTCTCTGGGTAAGAAATTAGCCACATTGCCTGGCTTTAATGTCTCCACCCCAGCTCTATCAGGGGAAAGTCATTAGGATGGTGTAAACAGAGGCTGATTATCTAAAAACAGTCCTTGTTTGCCGCATGTGAAAGGCAACAAGTGGCCTTTAAAGGACAACACAGAACAAAACTCTCAGACCTGGGACAGGCAGGTTTCCAAAGCTGCACTGGGGGTTTTCTCAAAAGACAACAGTTTCTTGCACGGGTGCCCTTGGCTACTCTCAGGCTGTGTGGGGAGAACCAGAAGTGAGTGAGGTAACAAGTATGCTTTGGAGCAAGCGACCAGGGCATGTGTGCAAAGTTGCGGCACGCCGGCGGAAAGGGGGGCACCCAGGGAGAACCATTTGGCTTCCTTTTACCAAGAATCCAAATCTCTTCTGGAGAGGCAAAGTGCTTTAGATCAGTTCTCCAAACTCCAAACGTTCACTCAGCGCACCCCTCCCAGGAGGGCGCCCGTTTCACCAGGCGTCTCAGGCAGGTGGGTGCCAGCCTCAAGCTGCCAGGTGGACAGGCCAGTACGCTCCCCCGCTCCTCCCCACTGAGCGACCCAACCGTCTCCACGTCCCCGCCCCAGCCTCGATCCCCAGAAGGAAAGCCTAGCACCGACCGTGGAGCTCGGCGGGCGCCCCTGCAGGGTTCGCGCAGCGCCTGGGCCAGAGGAAGCCGGAGCCCGAGAGGGTGGATGGCGCAGAGGGTGGGTGGCCGGTGTCCCGGGCTGCGGCGCGCCGGCCGCCCCAGCTGCAGGGCTGTCTTGGCGGCGGAAAACTTATCCGGTGGGGCAGGGCTTCTCTGGGGGAGGTCTCGCTGAGCCTCCAGCCTCTGGCGATGAGCGGGTGGGAAGGATGAAGCCTCCCTGCCTCCTCTCCACGATCGCCAGAACAGACCCGAGGGATGACTGTACGCGCGCGCAAGGACTCGCAGGAAAAAGAAAACTCCGAAGGAAGGAACACGCCTCCAGCCTGTCCTCCCCTTCTCCCAAAGCTCCCAGCCCTTCTCCACTGCGGGACCGCAAGAGCGTCCTCCAGCCCTCACCAAACTGCACTGAGCTGCCGCCCCCTTCCAGGCCCCGAAGGGCAGGAGACTTTTAACTATTTCCTTCCTGAAGTGAAGTTGGGGGTGGGTGGAGGAGCCCGGGGAGGGCTTAACAGACAAGCCCGGAATAATGAAAGGCCTGGCCAGAAACTCGGCCCCTTGGTCAGGGAGTGCAGGCGCTTTGATCTGGGATGCAGCAACTCCACTTTGCTTGTGGGCTCCTTCTTTAGTGCAGAGGAAGTTAAGAAGCTCAACTGCAAGGCAGGTTACTAGATCCAGTAAAGACTGCTTGCATTTGTCCCTTGAACACAGCACCCTAAGACTGCAGACCTCTAGCCCAGGAGAGTCAGGGACTGGGTGAAACTCTCACTCCAAAGGATGAGGATGCAGATCCTAGAGAGGGTGGGGCTCAGTGTCTTTACCCCAGATTGGGGGTGGAAGGGGGTGGAAGAGAAGACGAGGGGCAAAGGCCATTGTGGGCTCTTCAGGGAAGCCTGACTTGGGGTCCCTCGGTGGACAGCTGGTTTCCGCAGAGTGTGAAACTATGAGGCTGGGGCACTCTGGACGCACCTCACAGACTGCTCTGGTTATTGCAGATGAACAAGTCACCAGTCACCCACCGTTAAACACACAGTGGCTTAAAACAAAGTCAGTCACTTACTTTGCTCTCATCTGCTCTCTGCAGGGCTGGTCTGGAACTCATCAGTTTTGCTCCATGTCACTAGCACTGGGGGATGCACTTCACTTGCTCTGTGTTGAGGGTTAGTTTTTCTCCATGTGTGGTGACGAGTTTCCAAGAATAAGTGTCCAAAGAGATAGGAAGAAGTGGAAACTGACAATCTCTTGAGATCTGGGTCCAGAAACTGGTAGAATGGCACTTTTGATCAATTTTATGAGTCAAGCAGTCATTGATCCCAGACTCAAAGTGAGGTCTTAAAGAACCTGCCAGCCAATTCAAGGAATGTTGAAAAATTTAGGGATCGTTTTTGTAAAACCATCAAAGAGACCCACAGAAAACCACGGTGGAAAGGGGTTGCTCTAGTCATCTAGCTCTGTTGGATTACATATCACCCTGTGCACTAGTCTAGAGTATCTATCGCTTCTGTGTGAGGGTGGGTTAACCAGCCAGAATAACAAATAGCTTTTTAAAATGCCTTAGTTTATATTAAAAAAAGGGCTGACTTTTTGGGCACATGGCTTGGCAAGCTGACAATCTTTTCCAGGAAGAAAAAGTGGCTGCCTTCTCCCAGAAGAGGCCGTGCCCAGCTTGGGATGTGACATATGCTGGATTTCAGCCTTGCCTTGCTCTGTGACCAGACACACTTGGACAGTGTACACCTCTGAAAGTGAACTTGTTGGTCTAGCTAGTCTTTGTCAGAGTACATCCCCTAGCCTCTATCTCTTTGCTCCCCAGGGTGGTAAAAGATGAGTTATTAAAAGTTCTTCCTTCACATCCATGGGGAGTGTTATTGTCTGAACAAAACCAAACCAGGAAATAACTTGTATTAGCAAGGATGCTGAGAAACTGGGACTCTTGTCTATGGCTGGCAGGAATGTAGATGATGCAGCAGCCGGGGAAGAGAGTATGGCAGTTCTCAAAAAATTAAACATAAAATCACTCTGGCTATATAATAATTAAAAGAATAATTGAAAGCAGGGATATGAACTGATATTTGTACACTCATGTTCATGATGGCATTATTCTCTGTAACCAAAAGGTGGAAACACCTCAAATGTCTATTGAAGAATAAATGGGTAAACAAAATGTGGTACACACAGCCAGTGAAAGATTATACAGCCTTAAAAAAAGAATAATACTCTGATAGATGTTACAACAGGAGCTTCAAAGACATATGCTAAGTGAAATGAGCCAGACTCAAGGACATATATTATATTGCCAAAGGATGAAAACACAACAATTTATTTAATTGGCTTTATTTTTGATTCTAGAATCAGGCAACATTTCATTCCACAAAATAGAATATGTCTTCTCATGGGCTGAGCAGAAGAGCTTGGTTGTGTAGCCAGAGAAAGGTTGAAGAAAGCTGAAATGAGAGAACAAAAAGTGGGTTGGCCATTTCAAAGTTATTTTCCTTATAAGTTAAAGACAGGAGACAAAACAATGTGAAAATAACTGATCAAGTCAAGTTACTTCAGGTTATCTATTTTTGTGTGTGAGAGAGAGTTAAAGCAGAGAGGACTTCATTATCATGACAGTGACATTTTTCTGTAAGCAGTTAAGTTTTGGCTTGGTGACCTGAAATTTTAGCACAGTGACTCCATTTTGCTTTTGGCCTGGTCTGTTCAGGAATTTAATTCAAAACAATAGCCTTCTGTAATTTTTATTTAATACTATGATTACGCTAGGTTGTCAAATTCAAAAAGACAAAAGGTAGGTAGTGATTACCAGGGGCTTGGAGAATGGGGACTTAATGCTTAATGTGTTTAAGAGTTTCAGTTTGGGACAATGAAAAAATTCTGGAGGGCGATGGTGGTAAGGGCTATACAACAACGTGAATGAATATCCTTAACACCAATAAACTGTACACTTAAAAATGACTCAAATGACAAATTTATATTATGCATATACTACCATAATAAAAAAATTTTTTTTCCTAACATCAGGAACATTTGCCTCCTTGTTACCTGTTAATCTGTCTTCTAAGCTCATAAAATGAGTTTACTGCCTCTTTTAAGAAAATTCTTTAAATAGAAAAGATGTATTTATGTGACTGACCAGCATTGGCCTGCCTTTGTAGAGATTGGGGTTGGTTTATTCTAGATGAGAAAAGCATGAACATTCCTTAGTTATTGGAAATTTATCTCATCTTTTTTGCTTCACTTTAGGGAAAATGACTTCAGTGGACCCAAACCAATTTTTGGCAAAGTCGACTTCACCTCCAATAACCCCTTTCCCCATAGCTAAGACTTAATATGGTTGCCCAACTTCTATATTCCCTGCTAAGTATTTCCAAAGACTAAGTTTTTCAACTGGATTTCCAAAGGTTATTTCTTTTCCCTGGAAGGTGGGTTGGAATTTGCAGTTTTTCTGGTTTCAGGGAAACCTTGATCCCACTTGACTGTGGCTCAAGCAGCTCATTAAGCGGGGCATTAGTGTAATGGTATTTACCATGACTTCTCTCAGCATCCTGTCATATTGATTTCATGAACAATAATTGCTGTAGATTAAGAAGTACTCAAGATAGCACTTAAAAACCAATTTTTCACATGTCCTTGGGGCAAATGTTCTTCTAAATTTAAGTTTCTTGATTCAAATTTGCAAATCCATTTCATAATTGCTAATTCCCAATATCCTCCAACTTGAAACACCATGAAAGTCCTGAGTCTTATGCCATTTGCTGAGAATATTGCAGGCAGTTTTGAGCTCCCTGGGGGAAGGAAAACAGGAAGGATTCAGAGAAGAACTGCAAACAGGAAGGAAGGCTGGTAAGTGGTTGTGAGAGGCAAGGTGGAGAACTAGGGAAATGGACATCAGAGACATGAGACCTGAAACTGCCATCGCAGCCTTCTCTCTGGCCAGTGAAGTGACCGAGACTATTGGCAGCAAACATAACTGCTGTAAAGATGAAAAGACAAGCCCGTGAGTTGAAGATGAGTTTTTAATTGAAACTCCCTATAGGCGATTTGTTTTTAAGAGGAAATACTCATCATCATTGAGCAACTTGAGGGTTAGGGACTCTGACCCTGCTCCCTGACCCACAATAGAAAATTCAGGTCTGACCTTCTAAAAAAAGTTATTTAAGACCTTTATTAACAGGTGCTTATGGTTTGTTGACTGTTCTTTGAAAAAGTCAAGTTCTAAATTTTATTAAAAATTAAAAATGAAGTTCTTAAAAATCTCAACTTGAGCAGATATGAAACAATTAAAAAATTAAAGGCATATTGAGAAAAACTAAGCTTAAGGAAAAATCTCACATTTTTTATTACCAGAAAGGAATGTCTTTAGATAACAATAATAAAAAAGCCCATGGTGCATGGACAATGCACAGGATTCTAGGAATCTGATCAATGGGCAGAAAAACCATTTTAAAGTCTGCTCCAAAGTGTTGCAGGAATTTCATATTCATTTCCTCTTGTTGCATGACCAGATGATGGTGGAGATGATGAGTTGATGTTTACGCGGCTCCATGCTGCTCATCCTCAGAGTGAAGGAGATCTCAGATGGTGGACCAGTTGCTTCTCCTTTTTCCCTTCTCTGGCATCTGTAGCATAATCAGAGTTGAGCAGTATGGATTTTCCTCATTGCTGTCCTCTCTGGGCTGTTGGTAGTGAGGGTGGCCCTCCTGTGGAAAGCAGCTATAACCCTGAGAACATTCGTTCTATGTGGTGGTCCTGCATTCTGGTTGCTGACATTCTCCATCACTTTTCCCTGCATAGGAGGGGTCTAATACTGTGGTCGGCGCCCATGGGTCTTTGGAAGGAGTAAGGTGGGAACCCGTGCCTCTGGTAGAGCTGGTGTTGGCCATCTCTCCTTTTTTCCCTACTCTCGATATTCTGGCAACTCTGCTGGTAATTGCGCTGAGGATCACCAGGGTAGTGTCTGTAATGGTTGTAGTCTGCTTCACGTTTACTGCCTTGGGCTGGATCTCCACCAGGTTCTTTAACATCTGTTCCTCCATAGCCTTTTCTCCTTCAGCAACATCAAACTCCACAGTCTCTCCATTTTTTTTCTACTGTGCAGGTCCTTCCTGGGGTTATTCTATTTATGACTGTTTCATGTCATTCCTGTGGATGGTTGAACCATGTATGCTTCTTACATTGAGCCATTTTATTGTTCTCAATACCTTCCTTGCAATGACCTTCTTGTCCCAGCCAGCCAATGCCACCAGACCACTTGGGCCACTTGGGCCACTTGGGCCACTGCTCTCTGTATTGCTGTCCGTGGTGCAGGTATGTAGGTCACTAGGCAGCAGTGAGCAGCTCTGGGCTTTCTGAGTTCCATGCTCTGTGCTTTCTTCCCATCCAACTCCATTTAACTTCTGATTCCCCACGACTTATCTATGA